AACACCGTCAAATCAATAATTCTAATTCAATTTGGGACATAAATTGATTAATGTTCTTTGCATATAAGATGTGATACATTCCTCACGTGGTAAGTTTAATAGTTAATACCATTACCAAATCATGAATCCACTTTCGGCTCCTTTTTCTTTCTAGATAACCCAAATTCTCCCAAATCTTTGTACTTAGAATTTACAATTTCATTTTCCTTTATCATTACAACAATGAAGTTAGATGTGTATAATTATTAGAGGGCCTTCTAATCTTTGCACCTATAAATATCCCTTTCATGGATAGAAGAATAATTAAAGACTCTTTTTGAGTTGACCGATTTAGGTAATTATTCTTTTCTAGAATATGATTGATTCGTCCAAATACTGGTTAATATCATAATTTAACATTGTTCTGCCTCCGTCAGATTTGTGTCACGCATTCTTATCGTTTATCAGAGCTTGAATCAAGATCCTCCTACGTGTCGTTTCATCACTGCGTACCTTCTCCCACAAGATGATTATTGTTATAAGCATCAGTTAATTTACTATTAGCATAACCCAGTCTATCACAAGCATAGAAATTATTAACTCATATCCTAATTCAGGAAATTATACGTACTAGCAATCCCATAATACCCACTCTCTACTATTGTCAGACAGACCAAGTATATAAGAAGCCCACAACCTTTGTTTCATAGGACAAATTCTAATTTTAGTAAAGTTCAAGAGGAAAACACACTCATACATGTAAAAGAGCATTAAGTGAGAGAAGGTCGCCATATCTAAATGTCCTGCTCGAGTTGGTCTTAATATCGTCAAACTACTATAAAAATCTTTTTTGTTTATTACTTGTTTACGTCATTTTGTTGATCACATTGATTATTAGTAATCACGTGCACATCTTATATGACCTCTTCTTAGGTCAATAGGATATCAATGCATTAACAAACATCATATGGTATTATTAAAAGAAAAAACAAGTTAAAAATCATAATTTATGTGTCATATCATGTTCAATACAAATTAATTATTCACTGGTCTCGCTAATTAATATAGTGCTGTCAAATAAACTACCATATTAGTTGAGATTTCGATCAAATTGTACTAATTCTATATCATATACTATCAATATTAATGTGCACTCAGATTCTACATCAATAGAACTGAAGATATGATTGACCCAATTTCCGAGTACAATCTAAGTATACAAATTGGAGTACAATCTAAGTATACAAATGGGTTGCAATGTCACATCAAAGTCACCCCAATAAATTATAATCATGCAAAAAATATAACACGTACAACAATGGATGAGCTGTTTAATACTTGGAATTATTGTTATGGTACCATGCATGATGCATCTCTAAATATTTGGTACGTCCTGTAAATATTATCAATTAATGTTGTGTACTTGTAATCTTTTATTGTGGGGACGCTCAATCTTCATGACCCTATCATCATTTACTACATGGAATATCGATTCACAAAATCCTATTTCCTGAGACACCTCAATTTTGTTTCAAAGGGGACGGGAGGAAAACAAATACAAGATTAACAAATTTTAAGTAAAAATACGAAAGTTAATTATATTGAATTAAAACATCGAGGTACATATTAATATTATTATTATTTAGAATAGTCAAGAGAAAAAGAAAAAATAAGTTTAGTTTGAAATTATAATGTTTGATTTGTAATTCAAAAATAATTTTTAAAAACTAAAATACGATTCAAATTTTTGAATTGTATCTTAATATTTTTAATATTAAAAATTTATCTGATATAAAATTTAAAAAATTGTTTTCAAATTAAAAGCTATGGATTTTTAATAGTTTTCTAATTTTGCACTAGTTTTTATGATTATATTTTAAAAATATTTTTGAAAACATTTCTACTCTTTTTTATCAAATACATATTCATAAAATTTGTTGTATTTCTTGTTTAAAAACAAAAAAATGTATTTAAATTCTAAATATCAAACGGGCCTAAATTCTATATGAAAAACTAAATTTTTATTCAATCACTTCAAAAAAAAAAAAAAAAACTAAGCTTAAAAGTCTAAAAGATAGAGTAAACGACTTTTTTTCCACCTAAATAATGGCTAAATGACACTTTCTCACCTACAAATTTTTAAAATATCACTTTATTATCGAAATTTATATTCCGGTAGCAAGCAGAAAGGAAACTTGGTTCAAGCTATCGGAACTTTTGAAGAGGGGAGACCATTGGTTGGATTTTAGTGGTTGAGATTGATTAGAATTTGACTTGGGAGGGATGGTGGCGCAAACTCTAATCACTCAATTGATGGTGATTGACATGGTCGACGGGAGTATGGTGTAAAGCGTTTTGGTAAGTGATGATTAAGGAAGAGAATGATGGTAGTGTGGAGTAACAACGATGTCAAAATTAGAAACAATATATAATTTTGGATAATAAAATGGTAGACATATATGTATATAAACTTTTCATAAAATAAAATAAAAGGGTTATTGTTTACAATACGTTTAGGAGGAGGTAAACATAATTGAATAAAATATATTTTTTTAAGTGTTACGTTGACGTATTAATAGGGTGCTTTATAACAATATCTTTAAAATGTAGGTGTTTGTTGGGACACCTAATTAAAATTTAGCATTAGTTAACATATGATTGAATGTCGAATTAATAAAATAATGAAAACAGAAAGAGTAGATAGATTCATGAATGAGATTGGAGAGAAATCTTAGAATTTATTGAACCGACCAATTGGTACAATGTTCCCTACGAGACCCACATACATTTATTATATTAATTCAATCATAAAGCTTTGAATGAATGAAAGGGATAGACTATAGTATTTATTACTATATACATGCCGCCTATTTTAATAATCTTGTCAAATTATATTTTCATAATGTCCAATTCTATGAAAAATATTTATTTCAATGAAATTTAATTTTGTAAATTAAGACATTATCATCCGATAAATCTTTAATAGAACAAAGGGATACTTAATGGCAAACTTCGCAACAAATTTTAAAAATTATAAATAATAAATCAAGAATATTATGATCTTAATATGAAATATCAACAGATAATAAAATTTCAGAAATATTTTTTACTTTAAAACAAAATATAAAAATAAAGTAATTTATTTTAGTATTTGAATAATTTGGGAAAAGAAAGCCGACAGTGAAAAGGTAGGAAGGAGATGAAGGCACGTAGAGAGATGAGAAAGGGGGAGTGCGTAGTCGTCCACGTAGATAGATGAACAAGTGTTGAAGTGGAAGCTGGCCCTTCGTGTATTTTAATGTCTACATCAACCAACTGATGTCAGTTAGTACAAAAGAATGATGAGTGGAGCATACCTCATCTTCAACTTTTTTTTTTTTTTTATTTAAATTAGGATGAGGCTGACCAACCAATTCGGCTTACTTAATTCTCCACCTTTTCTACCATTGGATCTTATTATTTTCAAAATTTTCTTTTGTTTTATGTTAATTAAATTAATAAAACATTTTATTTGTAAATTCAATCATAACAACATCCAATGAGACCAATATATGAATACAATTCATAGTTAAGAATTGGATAACGTAACATAAGTAAATTATTTTTTGAATATGATTTTTTTTTTTATATTCTTGAGATCGGATTTCTCTAATTCTTTTTTCGTATTAATAGGAGTAGTCATAGAACTCTAATTCGGCTAGTAGTTTTAAGGTCCTGAAAAATTAATTAAAATAGATGTAGATTGATCCGAATATTTCGTCATTAAAAAAAATAATATGAACTTTAATTATGGTGCCAACTTGTTTAGATTTATTTAGAAAAATAAGGAAATTCAAGAAATAAAATTTAAAAACTATACTGAAAATCTTTGATTCAAGTCCTAGTTATTCTTATTAATTCTTAATTGTTTAATTTTCTTTAATCATGGGTATTCTCTGAATTAACAGAATTCAAATCTATATCTTATTCTAAATCACTTATCATAGAAATTAACATTTACATCAGTTAATCTATTGGTTATGATAAGTATGGTCCGACTTATAATAATAATAATAATAATAATAATAATAATAATAATAATAGTAGATGGTTGTCCATTATATATGATGGTGGTTGATTTGACCTCGCTTTTTTTAATGTGATAAATTCCCATATCTTTTGTTTTTTAAGACAATTAGATCTTGATTTTACTTTTTATCCCAAGTTGAACCTCCTCATGACTAGACCGCACTTTGGAAAAGCTCTCACGCCCATGCCACTCTAAAGGTTAGATAATTACGTTTACCGCCCTGGGTTTGGGTCTAGAACGTACCTATACTACATGTTAAACCATCATAGACCTCTTGATTGTAACCTAAGTTAACCCATACAAAAGGTGAAATATATAATTCACTTATATATAAGGAAAAAAATCGGTAATTCACCTTTAATTCATTGTTCTTTGCATAAAAAATATTGTTTCAAAGTTAATATTTCATTAATGGTTGTCAAGGAAGTTAAAAAAAATGTAGAAACCAAACCGAACCTGTTTTTTAGTTATCTGGAAAATCGGTTCGGTTTCAATTCAAAGAAATACAAAAACTAGTTTTTCGATTTGATTATCGGTTTATGGGTTATGGGAATCGGTTAACCGGAACTGGTTTATTATAAAAATAATAAAATAAAAAATAAAAACAATAAAACCTTTTTTTAATAAAAATAATAAAATATAAAACCGGTTTAAATTAGGAAAAAATCAAAATAAAAAATAAGTTAAAGGGAAAATCGGTTAACTGAAAAACCAGTTTTCCCCTTAACTGGTTCAGTTCAGAAAATCGGTTAACTAGTTATGAACACCCCTTAGTTAGCTTAAAGGGGTATTTCTTAACATTTGAAATGCCAGGACCTTGATTGAACAACCAAAAGCTCAGGGTGTATTAAGTTATTCTCTCCTCTAATAAAGGTTAACAATTTAATTTTTCTTTTTTTTTTTTTTTTTTTGCTCCACATTTTTCTCGTATAAATAGCCCCGCCGAACTCAAAGCCATTCAATTCAATTCACTTCTCTAAACAAAAGCTCATATACAAAGGCAACAATGGTGGCTTTGGCCAAGCCAGCAATCCAACAGTTTCCATTCACAAAAACTTCTTGCAAAACCTCCACATTGTTCCCCGCAATCCCTTTAATCGACCTCTCAAAACCTGATGCCAAAACCCTCATAATCAAGGCATGTGAAGAGTTCGGTTTCTTCAAAGTCATCAACCATGGAGTTCCCCTGGAATTCATTTCCAGGCTCGAAGCTGAAGCCGTTAAGTTCTTCTCTTTACCTCTCCCGGAGAAAGCACAAGCCGGCCCTCCCCGCCCCTTCGGCTACGGCAACAAAAGTATCGGACCAAACGGTGACGTGGGTTGGGTTGAATACCTCCTCTTCACCGCCAATCAAGAGTCTAATCTCCAACGATTCGTTTCACTTCTCGGCAAAAATCCGGAAAAGTTCCGGTATAAACTTTCAGAAAAATCAATCAAAAATCATTCTTCTTTCTTTTTTTAATTTGTTTATAATATTGTTTTGGTGTGCTTGCAGTGGCGCTTTGAATGATTATTTATCGGCGGTGAAGAAAATGGCGTGTGAGATTTTGGAACTGATGGCGGATGGATTGAAGATTCAACAAAGGAATGTGTTCAGTAAGCTTTTGATGGATGAACAGAGTGACTCTGTTTTCAGGCTGAATCACTATCCGCCATGTCCTGATATTCAATCTCTGAATGGAATTAACAGCAATATGATTGGATTTGGAGAACACACAGACCCTCAGATTATTTCAGTGTTGAGATCCAACAACACTTCTGGCTTGCAAATTTCTCTCAGAGATGGGAGTTGGATTTCAGTTCCTCCTGATCAAAACTCCTTTTTTATCAATGTTGGAGACTCATTACAGGTACAAATTTTATACAGTTTTTATTGTTTATTTATCACTATTTACACCTATCTCTATCAGAGAGACAATAATATATCTTTCTTTTTAACTTTTTCAAGACTTCACTGTTTGGTAAGTTCACCACCCTCCAATAATTTTTCTTCTGTGCATACATGCACTCCGTTCTTATCTATATTCATGGAATACATTCATCCCACTTAAAACTCGCTTGTGTTTCTACTATCGAACTTATTCCATTACCTGAAAAAGAAAGTTTTTTTTTTTTTATCTCTATTGAGATGGAATAGTGCTTAATGGAGTTGAATAATGGTTAGTTAATGGAGATTTCTGTGTTTGGTGGGTGATTATGCAGGTGCTGACCAATGGGAGGTTTAAAAGTGTGAGGCATAGAGTTCTGGCAAACAGTTCGAAATCAAGAGTTTCAATGATTTATTTTGGCGGACCACCATTGAGTGAGAAAATAGCTCCATTGCCTTCACTCATGAAAGGCCATGAACAAAGCTTGTACAAAGAGTTTACATGGTTTGAATACAAAAAATCTGCATACAGTTCAAAACTTGCAGATAACAGGCTGATCCACTTTGAGAAAATAGTTGCCTAATGTAATTCAATACTCAAAACAATGGCTTAGATTAAGAGTTATACTTTGTATTATCTTGTAATTACCTTTCTTGTTTAATGCATAAACACAAAATCACGTTTCTTAATACAAGAATATGCTTTTGTTAAAGGCTCAACTGCACTTCTTTACGGTAAAAAGTTTCAGCAGTCAAATATGGAAGGACTTGGGTTAAACAAATAAGAGGAGACTAGTGCGTGGCTGGTTTTGATTCCCAAACAGTGAAAAAAAAAAAAAAAAGGGATGAAATGCAAGAAAAGTTAGATGGAGAAAAGAAGATAGATAGCATATTGTAAACAAAAGAATCTTGTGGGTTGTTTTCATTGGGACCATTATTGTATTTGTATGATAAACAACAGGCATTAGACCATGACTTAAGCCGGCCCAGGCCCTAGAGCAAACCGCGTGAAAAGCTGGGATTTTCTTTCTATCTTTTTCAAGAAAAGTCTTCTGATATAATCGTTGACTAAAAGCAAGTGGTATTTCCGAAACCAGGGGAAGTTTTTTTCTTTGTATTTATAGTATTTTTGGGTAAATAGTAATTTTATAAAAGAATAAAAAAATACACTTAAAAAGAGAGAAAACTTCCCCCAGCGTCCCGACCCTAGGATAAAAATTCCAAGGGACGAGACGAAAGAAGCAAAGATGTTCAATCCTTTACAAATCAGCCCACACCCGGAGTCCTTGAGTGCCTATACACAAACCCATAAACACCACCTAGTAGAAAAACAAATCTGCCACAAAAAACAGCAAAAAAACCAGAACAGCTAAAGAGCTGCAGAAAACCATCTGTATTTATAGTATTGTTGGGAGTTTCTTTGTATAAATGTATAGATAACATGATACGATATTGGCATTACTTGTAGGTTTTTTTTAACACATTAAGCTGCTATGTGCAGAAAAGCCTTATAAAATCCTCACCAAATTAATATGAATATGCATATGTTGATAAGTCTTGTAAACTTTGAGTTACCCTCAACACATACAAGACAAAAGTTGAGGAATTAGTGAAGATTAGAGACAGATTTTACTGTCTTAATCCATTGATTCAATTGTAATTTGTCTTCCAATTCAAGAAATAGAAACCCCATGATTCAAGCAAATGAAAAAGAGAAGAAAAAGTATAAGCTGTAAATTTGAGAATACTGACAGATAAACATGCCAATTCTTGTTCCTCTAGGACTTAAAAGGCAAGGTCAAATACAAACTGAATGACCTCAAACGCCATGTGAAAAGCAATGGAATGCCTAATGTTTCGTAAGGCATCTAAGGCAAAACCATCTCTTTAAGATTTATAAATTTATGGTGATAACAATTTTAAGTGACAGCAAAATTTAGATACTTGTTAAAATGCAGAGTTGATTTTGTATCTTATGAATATCTACGTGTCAGAATTTTTTTGAAATCCTCATAGATCAATATGTCTAGAGGATGAGAAAAATCTTCCTCTTCCCTACATTAGATGTTGGTACAACCACTATCCAATTATTGACATGTCTCACTGACAATGGCTCTCTGCACAACCCCTATGTTTCCAGTAAAGGAATAACTCGTGAATGTATTAAATTGACCACCTCGAGGAATCGGCCCCTGGAGTTGATTGTGTGATTGAATTAATATTGCTAGGAATGAGAGACTTTTCATTTGCTCAGAAATCCTTCCATCAAATTTGTTTGAAGAGAGATATTATGATTGAATGACTGTCAAATTCCCAAATGACAATGGAATCTTAACTATTAGGCTATTGTGAGAAAGGTTAAATAATATTAGCGACTTAAAGTTTCCAAAAATTTCAGGAATTCTTCCTTAGAACTGACTGTTTTGACAGGTCAGTGGATGTGAAAATGGTTATATTCTTTCTTTCTTGCTTTACCTCCTAATGTTTCTTTGTCTAGGTTATTCATCCCTAGATGCAACACAGGGAAAGTTGCCAATAAATTGTGGAAATTTTCCACTCAAATTGTTTTTAGACAAATCAAGACCTTGAAGGGATGTTAATTTGCAAATAGGAGGGATTCGCCCAGTTAATTGATTATTAGAAACTAAGCATGAGCGGCAATCTGTCAAATGTTAGGTTTGATTTGTTAATAGCGAGTCCTTACTTTCCAATCCTTCATTTTGCTTTTCTCATCTTTTATAGTTAACTTCCACTTGAATGAGTTACCAACTTGCATCGCTTCCTCATAACATTCTGATTCACCACTATCTAAAATATAGTGCAACAAAGAAGAGTACCTCTGTGATGGTCTTATAGTCTTGGAAGATCTTCATTCAGTTGAGTATGTAATGAACACATGATTGAAGAAAGTTTTAATTTGATGCATTTCTAAATGCAATGGAATAATTTAAACTGTTTCTCTAAACTATTTGATAAGAAGATTTTAATCCTTTTGAACAGAAAACAGTAGATTGCGGTTAATACATGGATAAGATTGCCTGAACCAAAAACCAATGAAGATACATGAATCAAAAAATCAATACCAAGCTCAGAGTGATCATATAGTAGATTCATACGAAAATGTTCATGAAAAACGAAACAAGAACTGTAATCTAATGTCTGTTTTACAAACAGTAGACATGCCTGTTGCAGGATTTTGAGAGGTACGCTCTACATAATAGTTAAGTTAATTTAGACTTTAGATGGCTTTAGTTATGGCCACTCTGCAATCAGAAACAATGACTGATTGGAATCGAACACAAATTTCATAAAGGAATGACATAATCTGTGATGAGACTTAAGGACCCAACGAATTGCAGCAATGAATGTATGTAATCAGGGTTAAGTTTCACCAAACTGTATATTTACATTGAAAATTTAACAAACATCAGAGACTTCCACAGAATAGCCATTTATTCCTGACCCAAAAAAAAAACCAATAATTAAACAAACAAGGTTGGACAAATGCAATTTCATTTCAAAATTACAGTTTCTGATAATAATTTGTTCTGTATTACACAGTTCATCTTTAGCCATATGAAGAATATCTATACCACCACTAATGTACAATACTACTTCTGCTTTGAAGCATCCCTTGACTATATTTCACAGGCCTTCGTCAAGTTTTGATTCTTCTTGGTTCTGATGAGCCACATCATAAGTAGCATGAAGACCAACCAACACATAATACACAAGCATTACTACACTGCTAATTAAGAACCTCCAGAATGCCACATAACCCAATGACCCTAATAGAAATAAATTCATCCCAATTGACAATGATGGTAACCATGGAACTAAAGGAACCCCCCAAAGTTTTGGAACACGCTGCTTTGGAAGCAATACCATTCCCAGAGTTCCCAAAAACCAAAGCACTGCAGTTATCACATACCCAATCCAACCCTTCCCATTTGAATTCCAGATTGCTGTTACACCTAAAGAAGAAGCAATTACAACAAACAGACACACTAAAAACTTAACCAAATCATTCTTTGGAGTAACATCCTTCTCATAGTATCGCCTCACAAGCAATGCAACAGCCACAAGCATAAAAATTAAGAGCGTACTAAAAGAGAAAACACTTGACAAGACATCTAAACTAGAGAAAAATGCAATAATGGCACTAAGAATGGTTACCAACAAAGTAGCATAAATAGGTGTTCCAGTTTTTGGGTGAACTAGAGCAAACCAGGGAGGAATCATATGAGCTCTAGCAATCTGAGTCGTGTATCGAGCTTGCCCAAGCGATCCCACCAACAAACTTGTAGTCATTCCCTTAAGTGCACACACACTCACCAAATACTTAGCCCATTTCATGCCAATTTGTTCAAAAGCAACCGAGTATGCAGCATTTACATCAATTTGGGTATACTTTACCATCATGGTCAATGCCAAAGCCATCAAACAATAAATCACAGTAATCATAGACATTGAACCAACCAAACCAATCGGTATATCCCTTGCAGGACGCTTAGTCTCTTCAGCCATGGTTGCCACCATGTCAAAACCAGTATAAGACCAATAAACGACAGCTGCAGCTTCAAAAACCCCCTTTGCACCAAAAGGTAAAAATGGCACTAAATTTGAACTCTTGCCATGAACAAACCCAACAACAATAACAAACACAATCACACAAGCAGTCACAATAGAACTAACCCAATTCAACCAAGAAGTCCTCCTCGTCCCACTCATTGCTATCCCATTAGCAACCAAAAGCACCAAAACTGCAACCGGGTCCAACAAGTTAAAACCTTTAGCAAAAGACTTAACTTCAAAACGCAACAAATCAGAGTTATCAGCATCAATCATACTCGCCAAATACGAAGACCAAGACCTCCCTAACCCGGCCGCACCAACAACAGCTTCTAGAAGAATATTCCCAGCTGCAATATAAGCAATAAAGTCGCCTAATTCAACACGAAGATACGAAAAGGACCCACCTGCAACGGGAATTTCAACGGCAAACTCTGTATAGCAAAACACAGAGAGCAGTGCGGAGACCCCGGAAGCTAAATAGGATAAAACAATGGCGGGTCCGGCGTGGTCATGAGCTTCTTGGCCGGTGATGACGAATATTCCGGAGCCGACGACGGAGCCGAAACTTAGCCAGATTAAGTCCCACCAAGTGAGGCATTTTTGAAGGGTTTTTTCACTTTCTTTTTGCAGAGTGATGAGTTCGTTGGCGTCTGTGGAACGAGAAAAGAGGCGGTTTTTGAGGCGGGGGTATGTTTGGGAGAGTGCGGACCTGTAGGAAGTGAAGTTTTGGAAAGAAGGCTCGGGGAAGAAGTCTTGCTTGCTCCATCGCCAGTAGGTTCTTGTTGTTGGAGATTGATGTTCTTCTTCTTCGGTTTGTTGTCTCTGTGCACCCATTTCTGCTGAGAATTGTTGGTGTTGTGGGAGTGAAGATGAAGGTTCAAGGTTGTTGAAAGTGAAACCGTTGATTGCGTTTATTTCATTAGTTGATCGTTTCGTTTCCTTAAGAAGAGTATATGTACTAGACGGTATGAATTAGACTCTGTATCTTTATTTTTAGAAGTTTTTATTATTTTAGAAAGTTTTTTATTTCTTAATTATTTATTTTCTTTAAAAGTTTGAATTTCTGTTTATTAAATCTTTTTGATTTATTTTTATTTTTTTTTTCCTTAAGAGAGATTCATTTTTGAAATTATCTCACAATTATAACTAATTTATTTATGTCTTCTTTATTCAATAAAAGATATCATAGAAGTTCTGTATCTTATTTTTATAAGTTTTTTATTTCTTAATTATTTCTTTTCTTTAAAAGATTAATTTTCTGTTTAGTAAATCTTCTTGATTTATTTTTATTTTTTTTCCTTACGAAAGATTCATTTTCGAAATTATCTCACAATTGTAACTAATTCATGATATCAGAGCAAGTTTAATCTCGTTTTATTTATCTTTATCATCGAGTTATTCTTATTCGTTATCTCTGGGTCTTCCAAATCTTAATGCCCAAATACAAATCAGCCTCCAGTATGGCTACAAAAAGTAATTTTGGCATCATCGATCCTTCATCTCCTTTTGTTCACAATATGGAAGCCACCAATGTTCTTATTGCCTCTCATAAGTTGATTGGACACAATTATGTTCCATGCTCTCAATCCATCTTAATGTTCATTTGCCGGAAAGAAAAACACAACTACCTCACTTGTGCTTCAGTAGCCCCAGAACCCACGGCTCTTACCTACAAGAAGTGGTTAGCAAAAAACAATATGGTGATGTCAGGCTTGTCAACTCGATGAACATGGACATTGCGAGAATTTTTTGGCATTCGAAACCGCTAAGGAGATCTGGGATGCAGCCAAGGAAACTTACTCTAACACCGAGAACACTTCGGAGGTGGTAGAGATTGAATGGATTCTCCATGATCTGCAACAAGGTGATCTTAGGAGAACTCAACATTTTAATATACTTACGCCCAAATGGCATGAACTTGATATGTATGAGGTTCATAACTAGTCATGTACTGCTGATGCATCATTGTACAAAAAGATTGTAAAGAAAAAATGTGTTTACAAGTTTTTGCTAGGTTTGAATAAAAATCTTGATGAGGTATGTGGGAGACTCATGGGAACAAAGACATCACCTAGTCTTAGAAGAGCTTTCTCTAAAGTTCGACAGGAAGAAAGCAGGAAGAAGGTCATGATGGAGTTGATGGCTTGGAATACATTCATCAAAAATTTTCTTATCAACATAGCCTTTTTCTTGATATCTTTTATTAAATTTAAATTGGCGCTTATTCTTATGAACCAATGAAATACCTATGGTTTGATATAGAAAAAATTGTCCATCATTTTTTACAGACAGACGAGCCGGTTCGATAATCACTATTCCCTTTTTCATCAATTCGGTAAAAGTTAAATCCTTCTCAGTCATCAAATTGTCCAGATGCATTTCTCCCTTTTGAATATAGGATATAGCAATTTCTCTTGGATTTATCAGTCGGAGCAGGAGACAATCAATTTGGATATTATTTGCTTCATTATTGTGATTGTGGACGTTTTTATCAATAATTTGAATTTTGTTTGTTGATTCAAAATTTTTTTTTGCATTGATTCTTGGAATATTAAGTATAGATTAAAAAAAAAAAGGTTTATGTATACCCTTTCAATCAAAAATTAAAAAAAAAAAATGATTTACGGATTAATCGAGTACCTCAACATCTGAATGTAGCTGAAAACTTTGTTTTTTTAACTCGAGGAACTCAGCTTGCCCTTTCAGATAATCGCCAGAAAAATAAAGGAGGAAAGCCTTGGTGTGATCATTGCAGAAAACCAGGACATTTAATGGGAAGCATGTTGGAAATTACATGGGAAGCCAACATGTCAAATGGAAGAAGGCCAAGGAAATCACACCTCCACAAAAAAGCCACCATCACCTGAAGTAAGTCCTTTTAACAAGGAACAAATGGAGCTGCTTCAAAAATTATTGTCTCCTCTTCTGTCTACTCAGTCACAAACCAGTTTGTCTTCAAATCATGTCATTGGTTTTGGAACCTTGGCTCACAAAGGTAATTCTATGAGCATTTTTTCTGTGTATAAGAAACAAAACAAACCCTGGATTGTGGAATCAGGAGCATTTGATCATATGGCGGGAGATGCAACAGTTTTTAATACATTTAGCTCCTATCCAAATAATTTAACTGTTAAAATAGCGAATGGTTCACTATCAAATGTTGCCGGTATCGGTTCATTTGTGTTATCAAAAGATATTACACTCAATTATGTTCTTCATGTTCCTAACTTGACTGCAATTTGTTGTCAATTAGTAAACTTACTAAGGAAAGGAGGCGTGTTACTAATTTTTTCTCTACTCATTGTGAATTTCAAGATTTGGATTTGGGGAAGACGATTGGCAATGTCGAGGGGTGCTCTGGACTCTATATCTTTAACGAGTGCCCCTATTCACTAAAACAACCTCAAACGACAGTTTGTGTTAGTTCTTTCTCAATAATTCATCAAAATAATGATAGTACTATTATGTTATGGCACTATCACTTATGTCTTCCCAATTTTATGTACCTTAAACGTTTATATCCTTTGTTATTTAATAAAAATCTAAAATCTCTTGAGTGTGAAATTTGTCAATTATCCAAGCATGTTCGATCTCATTTTCATGTTCAACCCTATAAAGCATTTAGACCATTCATTAATGATTCACAGTGATTTCTGGGGTCTGTCAAAAATAAAAAATGTAATGGGTGCTAGGTGTTTTGTCTCATTCATAGATGATCATACTAGATTAACTAGGTGTTTCTTATGAAAGACAAATCAGAAATATGTCAAATCTTTAAAAATTTCAAAAATATAATTCAGATCCAATTCCAGTCACAAATCCAAATCCTGAAGTCTAACATGTTGGGGATTACTTCAACGTTGTACTAGGAGAATTTCAATCAAAAGAAGGGATAGTTCACTTAAGTTCATGTGTAGAAACCTGAAACAAAACGGAGTAGCTGAAAGGAAAAATAGGCATTTGTTAGAGGTAGTTAGGTTGCTAATGTTCTCCACAAATGTACCTAAATTCTTCTAGGGGGAAGTCGTTCTTAAAACAATATATCTTATCAATAGGATGCCATCTAGGGTGCTAAAATTTCAAACACCGTGTGAAACCTTTCTAAAAAAATTTCGACTACTTTTCTCATTTCCATTGTTCCACCTAAAATTTTTGGGTGCTTTGTCTTTGTCTATGTCCATCAACAACATATAAGTAAACTTGATCCTAGGTTACTCAAGTGTATCTTTCTTGGGTATTCGACAAATCAAAAAGGATATAAGTGTTACTTTCTTGTCACAAGAAAATTCTACAATTCATTGGATGTCACCTTTTTTTAGAATCAGCTATACTGCCCCCAAACTGATATTTAGGGGGAGAACTCAACTCAAGAATATCATTTTTGGGACTTTGAGTCATTCCTAGAGTCACCCATCACCATAGAAAATCACAATCTCTTAGTGTCAAAAAATCACATTCCTTTAGAGTCACTTAGTCAGCCTCTACCTACCGAAAACACTGAGTTCATTGTTGACTTATAGGATACGGAGCATATCCAAGAGGAAACAAAGGAAATAACACTTCCTCAACAAAACCAAGAAGCTGAACCAAGTCCTAATCCTCTTGAAATTCCAGGTAATAGTTCTAACTTAGATGGTTTTATTGATTTTGAGTTAGAAAATGAGATCCTAAATATGCCATAGCTTGGAGAAAAGGGGTTCGATCATGCACTCAGCATCCCATTGGAAACTTTATTTCATATGATGGTTTGTCACCTTTTTTTTGTGCCTTCACTATTAGTCTTACAGAGATACAAGTTCCTTGCAATATTCAGGAAATTTTCGAGTGCCCTAAGTGGAAGTTGTCGTTAATGAAGAGATTCAAGCACTACGAAAGAATGGAGCTTGGGAAATTACTGATCTTTCGAGCAGTAAGAAGATTATTGGGTGTAAGTGGACCTTCATAGTGAAATATGAGGCGGATGGTAGTGTAGACAAGTATAAAGCTCGTTTGGTCACCAAAGGATTCACCCAATCCTATAGCATTGACTATCAGGAAATTTTTGCTCCAGATGCCAAGCTCAACACTGTTCGTGTACTTTTATCCTTGGTAGCTAACCTTAATTGGTATTTGCATCAGTTGGATGTGAAGAACGTCTTCCTCAATGGTGATCTAGAGGAAGAAGTCAACATGGATATTCCTGACGAACTTGAGACATTATCTAACTCCAACAAGATTTGTAGACTTAAAAAATCCTTGTATGGACTCAAGCAATCTCGGCAGGCATAGTTTGAGAGATTTACTAAAGCAGTAAAAAGTTATGGATATTCCTAGTGTCAATCTGACCATACTCTGTTTGTGAAGCACTTCTTGGAAGAGAAGATGGCCATTATTATTGTTTATGTGGACGACATCTTCTAAAAGGTGACCATGAGGAAGAAATCAGACTTCTCAAACAATTCTTAGATAAATAATTTGAGATCAAGGACCTAGGGAACCTTAAGTACTTCCTCAAGATGGAAATTGGTCAGTCAAGGAAAGGCATCTCTGTCTCCCAACGTAAGTGGATTTGTTGGGTGAAACTAGAATGTTTGGTTGTAAACCTACCAAGACCTCTATGGAGCCAACAGTCAAGCTTGAAATTAATTATGGGAGTGCTCCTGTCGAAAAGGGATGGTATCAATGCCTTGTAGGGAAATTCATCTATCTCTCCCACACTAGACCTGACATCGGTTTCTCCGTTAGTGTAGTAAGCCAGTTCATGAATTACCCGACTGAGAGACATATGACTATTGTATACAAAATTTTGAAATATCTTAAGATGACTTCGGGTAAGGGTCTATTCTTCTCAAGAACTTCTAAGAGAAATATTGATGTTTATTCAGATGCAGATTGGGCAGGATCTATTACAGATCGATGATCAACTTCTGGATATTGTTCTTATGTGTGG